ATTTTTTTTTTAAAAATTTGTTTTTTTGACCCCTCTACATATATTAGTTCATAATAAGTTTTTTTTATATTAAACTGAACATATTTCTTGTAATACAGGATATCAATTTTTTTAAAAAAAATTTTTTTTTTTGCCCCCCTACATATTTTTGTATATTTTTTTTTTACAAAAAATAAATTAAAAATATTATCACAATTCGTAACTAAGTTATGATACACTAATTAAATTATGCTGATAATAGAATTTTATTATTTTGTTGATTTCAACCCTTGACCTTTATTAATTTATGTGTAATATAATGTATATAGAATTCTAAAATATACTATATACTGGTAAAAATATCCTGAAATATTATTCTTTATCATATCTTTATTGTCGTTATATATTGAATATGAATAATTGGTGCAAGACGAGACCAATATTTTTCTGCCCAAAAAGTCTACAGTGATCATAGGATAGAATTATAACCCATAAAAAAAAATTTGTTATAACAAAAAAAAAATTAATGCGAACATAATTTCAAACTGAAACATTTCGGTCTATAGAAAGTATATATTTTTTTAAAAAAATTATTTGGCTATCAATCTAATATGATAATTATTATCATCTTAATCCATTAATTAAAAATTTTATAAGCGTTAGTTATTCAAAAATTTTTTTATTATTATTTTTCATAATTAAACACATTATTTCAAATAATAATTTTTCTTTTAACCTTATAATAACCCAAATAAAAACTTTCTAGCTCCCAAATTCCCATTTATATTTAAAATAATAGCATTAAATTTTTTTTTCGTCGATCAAGATTGATTAAAAATCCTTGATATCTCAAAAAACATTTATCGAAAGTAAACTAAATTTTAAATATACCATGTTGATTAGTCAAAATTATAATTTTAATTAGAACGTCTTACTTAGAGGATTTTAAGTAATAACGTTTTTTTGTAAAACTCTAGGGCCAGTATGAACCTCATAATTCCTCTCAAGAGTTAATATAGAAGCGACTTGCAAAAATTTTTAGGGCTGTGATAAATTTTTTTTAAGTAAGGAAAAATACTTAAATTTATCTGCATTTCTAATAAGAAATTTTTCACAAAACTTCCCTCTGGGCCTGTAAAAAATAATATTTTGTGCAACTTGTCAAGCTCGGTCCGAAAATATCAGTTGGTCCATGGGATCTCTTGTTAGAGTGTTGCCTACCTCTAGATTAATAATTTTAAAAGTAATAGGTCAGTAACTCCATAGGCGCCCCAAAGGTTTTTGTAAAGGAAGGGGGGGGGGTACGAGCACCTGGGAATTTAATTGGGTTATAATAATTATTATGGTTTGTGGTAGTGTTGTTAAACGGCTCGTTTTGAGCCGATTTTTAATAACGGCTTTAGCCAGAAAAATGTTGCCTAAGCCTCGTGATCTAATAGATGTCCAAACCTTTGTTCTACAAACAAAATCTTCAGGCTTTCGTAATATTATTCTAGATGAAATATTGTATTATTCTTGATGAAATATTGTATTATTCTAGATGAAATATTGTATATTCCACTCAAAGAATGCTCCGTCGCTTATCCAAAATCGAGCCTTCCAATTTAACCAAGGATCTAGTTACAAGTTTCTGGAAACCTTATGTCGTATTTGTAAATACGTGAACGTTTTTTATATTTTTTTTTTTACGCGAAATGCCAATCAACCGATTAAAATAAGGTTGATTGGATAAAGAAATTAGATATAATAATATATGTTAATATTATTTTGTTTTGATAATTAATTTTTTTTATAAAAGAATTACATTTTTTTTTTATGAAATTAATTTCTTTTTATATTAAAAATGACGAATTTATTTTATTTTGATTTAATTTAATTATTAATAAAGAGATCATTGGTGAGTTATATTTTTGTCTGCTTTGTGATTTTTGTAGTTTCGAGAGTTTGTTTGAGTTGTTTCTGTTTTTTCTCTTAGTTTGTGTTTAGGATTTTTTTTTAGTGTGTAAGTTTAGATTTCGAATAAAGTCTTAAGTTTTTTTACCTTATCCTCCAACAACCTTGATTTGTTGCTTTCCGCTGACGCTAATGCGACTCAATTGCCAAATTGTTCTACCGTTCCAATGTAAAGATTGTAAAACCAACGTTATTGCAAGTGTAGATTACCTACATTGCCGCTTTTGTCTAGGTCGTTTCCCACACACCAAATGTAATGATATCATATTATGTGCCCTTAAATCTACAGGCATTGCATCTAACCTGCTTATATTTTTAGAACCGATGAAAAATTTTCCGATGGAATGTCCAATTCCTTGGTCAAGGTCAGCTCCTGGTTTGGGACTGCTCCTGCATTGATCCAAATGCACAAACTAACCACAACGTCGATGCTCTTGCCCTCGCAGAAACCCGAAAAATCATTAAATGCACTTCCAAAATCCTTCTTTCTCATTCATACCCATTGCCCGCCCCATTCTCAATACTTCCCGTAGCAAAGCTCAATGTTTTTTTAAGAATTGAGCAGACGGATTCGTGAAAAAACAGACCCAACCTATGGAATCCATTTTATTATGACAAAGACTTGCTACAGCCATTATTCGCTCTGACTTTCTAAGTTTTATCACTTCCACCGAATAATCTTCCACGTCTTATATTGCGTTATTTCTTCCCTTCTTCTTCCTAGTTTTTATTTATTATTTTATTTTTTAAACATCCTCTTTTTAAATCAATTATCCTTTTTCCTAAATTCTATTTTCATATTTTTTACCTTTATTAATTTTATATTAGGAAAAAATAATTATATATTACCTTTTGATAACATATTATATCAGCTACTATTCAAATAAAGAAATCAATGACCAGCTAAAAAAATAATAAATTTGTTTATTTTAAAACTTATGATATAACATTATTACTTTATTTTTCAAATTTAATATTTAGTAAAAAAAAAAATAATTTTAAAACCGGAAATCAGCTTTCTTTTACTTTTAAAACCGTAATCGAATTGTCACGTGAAGTTTTATAAATAACTATTCAGGATATGAAAAATAAGGATTATTTAAATGTTTTTTAAAAATAATATATAATCCGAATCCATCTTCTTTTAACTTTTATCTATATCTAAAAAATTCAAAATGGTTTCTTACAAACATATAAGACTGTCGGCCAAAGATGCGGGCTAAAATATTTTTCACAGGAATTTTTAAATAATATATTGCTGAGTAAAAAGCAGAGTTCTATGAATTTAATAATTGTTTTCCACGACTCGCAGGAAGGCAAACCCCATCGTTCGAATATTAAAATAAATTTATCCCCCATCTTGGATACTTTTATAACTCAAATGAATGAAGGGTTCTAGATTAATCAGGCAGCATTTACAAATCTGTGAAATATTGTAACACAGAATCCTTCCGAATCTATTTCAAATCTTGATAGAGAAAAAAATAAAAAGTTAGGCGTTTTTATTGTGAGGATATAGCTGAATGAAAACTATGATATAAAAGAATATATTATAATTGTTTAAAATAGATTTATCTTCCTAATACATTAAATTGGTAGCTTCATTTATTAGTTTTTTTTCCAAGGAAAGAACATTTTCTTCTTTAACAAGAATAAACCGGACAAATAATTAGCTAAACGGCAAGATTAGAATCGACTTTTAAAAACGGCTAACTCAAAACTTTAGCCAGAAAAATATTGCATAAGCGTCGAGGTTTTGATAATAGATGCCCAAACCTAAAATATTTTTGCCGTTTAACAACATATTGAGAGCTTCTGACCCTTCTTTGTATACATCGAGAGTTGACATTAAGCGCTCCCGGAGATGATAGGTAACTAACAATAAATATTATAAAATAGTCAAAATTATAGGTAAATAGTTATCAAACTAATTATACAATATAGGTCACATTATATATCATCACAAGGTAAGAACCTATCGTCATTTTAAAAAAATGGAGCACCTCTCCTAAAGAATTGGGCAAGAATGAAAAATAATATTGAGAGGATTTTTTTATTTAAGAAAAGAAATTATTAAGATCGATCTCTTGATATATTCAAGTTCTAAAAAAAAATTATCATCAAGATAGAGACTGGAAAATAAAAAAATAGAATAAATTTAACATGTTCATTCGTTATCAATATTTTGATCTAAGCCATTAGATTATTTTTTTTAGGTATATTATTTTCAAGAAATTTCTTAAGGTTAAAAAAAAAGTTGTAAAAGATATCTTTAGATTGACCAGGAAAAATTTTCAGCATAATTTGACTATAACTCTTAATTCAGATTATCATTAGATTATATATATATGATTCATACCATATCAAATTATTATTTCTTCTCCTTTTTTAAAAATTAATATCTTTATAATAGGTGTATATACTATGAGGAAACAAGTTATGAGTTTTGTTTAAATAATCAATTGATAACGTCAGGAATAGAACTATTTGTTCCAATTTCATAATGCGGGGTAGAAAAAATATTAAACAAAGTTTGCGATACCGATGCAATAGGTGTCGTAGATGACAATATTTGGATATCTTCTTGAATATAGATATATCCGAAAATATCTATTATTAAATCGTATTTTTACACATTTTATTAATGATAGCATAAATATTAATACTACATTTCGATTTAATAAATAAGACTTAATTTAATTGATAACCTTCCAAAATTTACCGTACTCCTTAGCCAACCTCTTAGATGTCTACCTCCTTCAAATATTTGTAGGCAAGATGTTCCTACCCCCCCCCCCCCCCTTCGCTGCATTAAAAAAATATCACAGAACAAAATCATTTAGGCCATTATAAAATTTGAAATGCTTCGAAGGAATTAGATTATGATAGAAATACAAAAAATGGTAATTTAAAGTCAATATATTTTGCCATATATTTCATTTCAAAAAATATTTAAAAAATTAACCAATAAAAAAAAAGACCAATATCAACATCAAAAAAATAAACGTAAAAAAAAATATAAATTAGTTTTATTAATATATTAATTTTAAAAGGGATTGGAAGCCAAAATAAATAATCACAGTAGCTTTATAAAAAAAGCATAAATGTTTGATCAGGAATTATAAATGTTTTGTAAATATAAATTGTATGTATATAATTCTTTAAATTGATAATTTAAAATGTAATATAAATATAATATGATCCAAATTCTTGTGTTAATAAAAATGATGAAATATACAAATTTTTTTTTAAACATTAGTTATTTAATATTGGCAATCATTAGGTAAATTATTCCAATTTTTCGATGAAATTTTATCGCTGTCGTTCGCTTTCGTAAAACACGAAATCCTTCAATTTTTAATAATAAAATATGTATATATTTGGTTAGGTGTTAGTCATAGCTAGGGATAAAAAATTGTTTTATAACATAAAAAAAAATTATTATTAGTGTTTATTAATATATTTTAAATATAAAAAGGATTGAAGCCAAAATAAATAATCACGGTAACTTTTAAAACGAATTGTAAATGTTTAATCAGGAATTATAAATGTTTCGTAAATATAAATTGTATGTTTATAATTCTTTAAATGTATATTAACATAATACGCAAATTTTGGTGATAATAAAAAAGATGCAATATACATTTTTTTTTAAACATTGGTTATATTTAGGGATGTGAAACCCTTCGACAAAAAAAAGGGTCCAGATCCGGGTTCCGGGTACAGGAATAAAATTTAAAAAGGACCCAAGTACAGAGTTTGGGTTCTCATTTATATTATACTTCAATATATAAATATTCATAATTTACAAATGTAATTTATATTTTAAATGTTTTATTCAATCGTACAATCATAATATCTTCTAAAATATCATCCTTGAGATTCACGTAAATTAGAGAATACATATTTCAAAGATGAATATTCTTGTTCTACCCTTACCTAAAATAGATAGTTATCTTTATAAAATTATTGTATTTGTATCGCCGGTACAGCCATGAAGATTTTAGATAAGATATATAATTCTGGATATATTCAATAAAACTTGATATCGAGGGTCTAAATATATAGAAGAGTAATATTGTTGCTCTCAATTTTTAAGTTTTCTAATATTTCGTATACAGCCAAAATACGAGGGTTCAGGGTCCGGGTTCACATCCCTGGTTATATTACAAATTTCCGATGAAATTTGTTTGTCGTTCGCTTTCGTAAAACACGAAATCCTTTAATTTTTAATGATAATATATACATTTGGTTAGGGGTTAGTCATTAGGGATTAAAAAAATCGTTTTATTATAGAATTTTCTGTTTTTTATATGCTAATATTTTCGTATTGGGGGGGGGGCATAACCAGGCGGGGTTTTCCTCTATAAATTTCATTGGAGGCTTTTAAGTCAACTGATTGTAGGCCTTTGGTTATATTATATTTTTATAAAAATATTTTGAGGTTTCACTTATTTTTCTATAAAAAAGTTTTTTCCCCAAAAATTTTGAATTAAAGTCGTTATTAAAAGGTTAAATTTAATTAATTTTTCTTTACATCCAATAACCCAATATACTTAAATACAATCTATTAATATTTTGTTAGAAATTTTTCATTATCACAATCATTCACTTCCCCATTTCGTTAAATAGTTTTTTTAAATTTAATTTTTGAGAATGTTTAAAATAAATTGTAAGGATGTTTTTTTTGTTTTGTATGACATCTCCAGTTATAGCATTTTCGTTAATTAATTTTTTAAAAAAACATGAATCATGAAACGTGAGAATATACTTAAGGCCCTTATACCGACTAAGGGGGAGGGGGATACAAATAATAGCCTTAAAATTTAGTAGGGGAGAGAGGTAAAGGTGTTAACCTCAGTGTCAGCCTAAATATTCAGTATCTATTTTGTAATTGTATCATTTTATATTTTGGTCCCTAGAGAGGGGTGTCAGAGTCAACGGCTCAGGGAAATGAGGGGAGGGGGTTGGGGGAGGGGAGGGGGGGTTTAAAATTCAATCGACTGTAAAAGGTTAAGTCTTATAAGAATATTACTAAAATATTTTATTATTTATTTTACTTTCTTTAATTAAGATTTCTGAAGGGAAGAGCCGACTTAAAAGCCAGGATTTCGACCACACCCGGGAAACTTAACCCCTGGTGATGGCAGAATCAAAAAACATTTGGGTAGAAGTTTAAATATAGTTAAAAAAAATGAAGGTTCAAATCAATAAGATTATTCGAGCGGAAAGGACGATATACAAGATTAACTTCTAGTCAATGGCATATATAATACCTAGACTGACGATTCATTCATTAAAATGCATTTTTAAGCGTCGCTAAAAGCAAATCAGCTGGGCCATTTTGGTAACACATTTAATTATTCTCATGTTGAAAACTACTATTAAATTGATAACTTGCTTCCTTATTTTCTCGATGATCAAGTAATTCTTTAATAAAGTCTGCATCAGATATAGGAATAAATTAGGCTCTCGTTTAAAATTTTAATAATGATTAGTGTAACCAAGATGGCGTCTCCAGCTGATTTGCATTGATGTACACTTTTAATGAATGAATCGTCAGTCTAGGTATTATATGTCATTGCTTCTAGTGATGTCGAATAAAAAAATAACAAAAATTACGATCAAAAAGGTAGCGCCCAGGAGGGCAGCTTTGAATCGAACGTCCAAATCGAAGGGCATTTCTATCGAAAAATTATCGGCGTCCGTGAAGGCCTCCTTGAAAAATCCGGAATATTTTTTTGTTATCTTCCCGATCTGAACGGAGGGTGCGGCGGCGGAAAAAATCTAAAAATTTTTATAAAAAAATGAAAGGAAAAATTAGCCTTCATTCATATAGGATGCATTGCCATTTTTTTGTAAAAAAATAATATCATTATTTATTAATTTCCAGCCTCCCTTTTAATTATATAAGAATAAGAAAAAAAGTTTAATCTAAGCTTTTATAGTATGTTTCATTAAGATTTTAGAATCCACCTAGACATAAGGAATCCCTCAATTTTATATTCATTTAGTGTAGGAAAAAAAAATATGATCTGATAGAAAATGTATAATTGAGCATTATATAAAGTTACCTACCCATAACTGCGATTTTCAAGCGCTTATGGAGCGATATTTTATTTGTTTTTTTTTCATATAAAAGATAAAGAAAAAAATCGCTCAAGTTTATTTATTTGGAGTAAAACGTACAAAATATTTTATGGCATAAAAATGGTGTGAAGTTCCTATATTAGGTTACCCCTCATTCACAGTTAGAGCGAATTTCGGTTTTGTATAGATCGCCGCAAATTCGCACTAACTATGAATGAGTGGTTATTCTACATTTATTTTGGAAGACATTTTGAGTAAAATAGGATATTTTTTTTTTAAATTTAAAAATCACCCATGTTAAACGATTCAAATTAAAGTTTGAATTTTATGGATTTATCCCAATAGTACATATATATTTGTTAAGTTGTATTATAGTATATAGGGGAGAAATAGAATCTTTTGCCTCTCGAGGTAAATAAGGCTTTTCTTATATAATAATAGCAATTTAACTCCCCCCCCCCACCTTTTATATAATAATCCATTTTATAAAAAAGTTTATATAATAATTTGTTATCTTATGATAAATTTAAAAAATAAATTAGTAATTTATTTAAAAATTTTCGAACAGACTTATTTCTTTCTTCCTTTCCTTCAAATTCTTAAAAAAAACATCTAGTTAATATATAAAATCAAATATTCCCCTTTAAACATTATAAGATGATGATAATATTACGTGATAAAATTTATCGATTTTTTTAAAAAAAATATTGACCATAACATAAATTCTAACTTTGAAAACAACGTCCCCGCCGAATATAGAAGAAGTTATCACGGGTCCCCTTATTTTTAAGATCGGTTTATTCAGGGCATCCTTAACGGTAAAATCGGGTTTACATATGGGAGGAAAATTTCGATCAACCGTTGCTATAGGTTGTTGAAACGGAGATTTGACGGTTACAGTCTGGGTAGGAGGATTGGTGGGCCGGGAAGGAAAATATTAAACTTAAAAACGTGATAATTTGTTAAAAATTTAATATATAGATAGAACATCGTTCATCTTTTTCTAAATCAATTATGACTCATCCGTTTAATTAAATTTTTTTATTGTATTTGTAGTTAGTAAATTTCGGGAATCCTCACGCGAAGTTTCGGAATCTATAAAATTTCTAAATTATCTAGGGCGCTTTTTTTTGAATTTTAGCGGAAATAAATTTCGGATCAATTTTCAAAGGAGAGATACTCTTATAAGCAACTGGAATACAATTCCTATTGCATTTTAAAAAAATGACCCTCGAAAAATGCTTTTTAAATTGGTAAATTCTGAATTATCACGTGAGGATTAGGGAAGAACTTTCCACATATTCAATATAAAAAAAATGGTATAAATATGAACTTCGGCACAACAGCAAGTGTATTCTCGCTCGCATACAAAGCATACAGCGCTCAGCGGATTCGTGACAAAGATTTCGAAAGCCCGTTGAGAACCTAAGCAATTTCTGGCCCAGAAATTGGACCCTGTAAAATTAAAAAAAATATTGCAAAAAAATATATTTATACTGATGTAAATTCAAATTAAAAAATGACTACCTTCGATTTCTGATTTCCCTTTCACTCCCTTTTTTCTTTCTTTAGTATAAATTTTTTAAATATATTTTCTAAGTCATTACCGAATTACGGTAAAATTAAAAAGTTGGAGTGAGGGAGGTGAGGGTTTTTAATTTAAAAAAATAGGATCATATGATAAATAGCAAATTGCTCTAATAACAACGGTTATTCTATCTGGGATCGAGTTAATTAACTGTAGAAAATTCTATATTGCGAACTTATTGCTTACTCAGCTGTTTTCACCTAATGTGCGTTTGCACTAAGGTGTTTCGTAGCTCCCTCTAACATGACTCCTCATACTATTTACAATTGGTTTGAAGTTGCGAATACCTTTATTCTATCGGAGATTGAATGTGAATGGCATGGGGGGGGTACTTAAACATACCTATCTCCTTAGGGTTATGTCCCGGGAATTCACAAAGTCATCAATAAGACACAATCCTGTGACAGGTTCTCCATCATATATTCTCTTTTTACGGGATAATTAAAGTTAACCGTATTCTATCTAAAATTAGTTATACGATTACATCCATTCTTCGGAAGTCTTATTGGATGCCTAATTGTCCAGCTGTTAATAATGACTATTATTTTGGTGGTTTCATGAAAAATCGATCTTCTCTGTTGATAGTTTACCTTAATTTCAACTGATGATACTATTGGCCGAACTTTAGAACTAGATTAAAAAGACCGAACCCTCTAATATATAAATAAACAAAAGATGGGGGATGGCTATCACAAATACATTAATTTAGAAATATAACGTTTGAGCTTCTACCTTGTTTTATGGGAATCCGAATATTTTAATTTCATTTATACCCAATGATGTATATATATATTACTAGATTAACGATTCATTTATTAAAAGTGTCAATAAATAGGAATCAATTGTAGTGCCATTTTATAGTACGTCAACTAATTGCCTTTATTTTTCATTATATGAATGCACATTAAAGTCATTTAATCGACAAACAACCCATAAAATGGCGCTACAGCTGACTCGACACTTATAACTGATATGAATGGCCAATCTAGTAGTAAATTATAATTTATACCTATTAAAATTATATTTTCCATAAATCTTATTTATTAATTTTTTTTTTATATCAGATCTAGATTTGCATGACGTCAAATTTCAATGGCTGATTTATTTTTCAAAAAAAAATCCCCATTTCCAAGCCCAACTCATACTAATTTTTTAAAAAATTATTCATTCTGCCCCCAAATTTTATAATTTTAAGTTGTGTCCTAAATTTTCCAATTTCTCTCTCTTTCTTTTAAATGATTTTGGGTGAATTTTTTTGAAAAAGATCAATTTGAAACTTATGAAATAGAAATTTTGTAAAAATCATCTTGAATTTAACGTAGTCGTTTTTTTTAAACAGATTTAATTAATCTATTATTGTTTACAAATTCTGAAATGACTGGATATGTAAAATTAATTTAAAAAAGTAAGAAAAGGATTGTATTTTTCTTAATTCCTAAATTTTTATCAAAAATTATGTGTCACATGGCTACCATCCCTCCCCCCTCCATTTTAATATTGGTTTGAGTATGTTATTCGTCTTTAATTTCAATTATTATTTTAATATTCCTTTTCTCCCTTTCTTTCTTTTCATTTCGTTTATTTGTAATAAAAAAAATGAGTATACTTTCGAAGGCTAAGAATAATAATCTTCCGAAATTATCAAACACGTGATATTTGTTTTCAACTTCAACACCTAAAATAACTAAATAATAAAATTTTTATATATTTTTTAAAAAAAAACAAAAAATTTTAAATTATAAGATAATTGATAAAGAAATTATCACACCATATCTAGAATTTGATGGCATGACATCAAAAAATTCGTCTATTTTATGATCAGCTGATTTATGTAAACTTATATTAGCTTAAACGTTAAATTTTTAAAAATATCTTACTGATCAAAAAATTCTCTCATTATTTGGATCAAATCTTTAAATATTAAATGTCAATAATTTCTACAACTTATTTGTTTAATGTGCCATAAAGTTCGTTATTAATTTTATCGATGTTTTTTGGAGGTTGTTAAATCTTCATAGTTTTTGTTTAAATAGGGTACTATATATTTTATTTTTTAAAAAAACAGGGATTTTCACATCATTATTCATACCGATTCGGACTACGGTTTTTTAAGAAAAATATAACCGATTCAACTATTCATTTTGGAATTATAGAAAATAAAATATTAACTATTTAAATTAATTAAAAATTTGAAATAAGCATAATTCTGAATTTGGAAGAAGACATAATTGTGTTATTAATAAATTAGAGATGTATCGATTTCATTATTTATAGATACATCGCTCCGCTCCTATACTGCTGGAAATACAATCTGTATTTGGCAATAATTCCCAAAAAACTTAAACAATAACCACCATATTTTATTTAAATCTATTAATTTTTTTATTTTTATATTAAAGTATAATTATTCACAGTAGTCGTCTGCAAATGTAGGCTCTGCCCTGACCTTTTACATTTTTTTAGCTTAGGGTTAGATCAGACCAGCGCGAGAAAATACCTATTTTTGAAGCCCATCAGATAAATAAAAGAATTTAGAATATCATATTTACAATCCTTGAGGATTATATCTTACGCTGAATTTATAGTAAACGCGTTGTTCAAGCGTTATGTTATCTAACGCTATGTCAAATTTAAAAGATAATTCTTTATAGCGATAATATTCAATAAAATATATTTTCTGCTTTATAACAAATATTTAATAAAAATAATCTTCTGCTTTTTAAAAATTACTAATAAAAACAAAAGATAAAATCTTCTGCTTTTTAATTTTTCTTTCCAACCATAATAAAATAAATCTTAAAATATCTCAAGACAAATTACAAATTTATTCCATAAGAGAAGATATTTAAAATGTTAAATTCTAGGCTTGATAAAATCGAAAATATATATTTTTCTAAATATATTCCATAAACCATAGCATGCGCCTCCAACGTATAAAATAAATCAAATACTTGAATTTTTCTCAAAATTGATGTTAAAGGATAATACTTTAAATTTTAAAAGCATCCAAAACCCAACTTTAAATTGATTTGCAGTTCTCGGGCATACGCTCTTGTTTTTGACCCACTCTCTTTTTTACAAAGCCTATGGACGTCTGCACCATTTTTCGAAATGTCACGCGTACAATTACGTGCTGCTCCCATAAACGTGTATAGGGCTCCTTATATTTTACTTTGTACCCAAATTAAAGTTTCTTCCAATTAGATGGGAAATGAGGAAAACCTAGCTTAGCTCTGTTGTAATTTCAACGCTAAAGGGCAATGCGCTATATATCACGTATAAAAACTAACTTATAATGTAATTTTACTATTATTTTTATATCGTGTGGCATATTTTTCATTATCACATGACAACATATCTTTTCACAGTTAGAGCGAAGATTCAGTTTTAAAAACTAATTTAAGATCAAGCTAAAATTGAGATAATTATTTTAAATAATAATTAAGAAAAATCTTGCACCTTTTTATCAAATTTACTATTATTTTTATAATCGTATCGCGTATTATTTAACAACGCATCGCACATGTTTTTCAAATTTTATCTTTGCGTTAGCATCAAATCTCCTTACTTATAAATTCATATATCATTTATTGTGGCTTTATTTTGTAATAACCATGCATTAAATAACACAGTGCTTTGAACAAAACGGGTTTACTATAAATGCAGCCTTAATATTGCTCTTTATGGATTATTTTTTCTATTGAAAATGTGATTTCGTTGTTATGAAAGTCAAGTTTTGATACATTTTTATACATTAATAATATAATTTATTACTGAAATAGAATTCAATTGACTTTAAAATAGTAAATTAAAAGGGCGTAATTTATGTAATAAAACAAATATTTGAGAAAATTTAAGGAAATAATCTTATCCTACATAAGATCAGATATAAAAAATGAAACAATTATATTGAAAATTTGCTTGAGATGATATAAATTATATCAAAAAATGATAAATTACACAGAGACCATTTAGATGAGGCTATTTTCAAGTCCAAACATTGAAAATAAAAGCTGAAACCCAATAAATAAACAATGGGAATAGGTTCTCTAATAACTTTTTTGTCAAAAATAAGTTATTAAATGTTCTAGGTTAGAAAATGAAGTTTGCAAATATATAATATATAAGATATCAGCTGATCTTGAACGTTTAAAAAAATGGATGCTCTATCCTTCAAATGAAAGGATATTTTATCAGTTTGGGAAATTATAGATGATGCCAAATCTTTTAATCTCTTATAACCTTATCTCATATCCATCCAAAATAAGGCTATAAATGATTACAAATTTAAATATTCCTGTTTTAAAGCTACAAGATTTGGGTACAAAATTCCAAGTAAAAAAATAATAAATTGTTTACGGAGGATATATAATGTGTATTCCTGCAGTTCCAATTGTCGTCTATACTGATGAAGTATTGTGTCCTATAACTAATCAAATTATACAGTTTAACAGAATTTCTGTACAAATATGCGTTATTTGTATCCAAAACATTTTTGATGAAATTTATAAAACTATATTGAGGAAAAATTAGTGTTATAAATGTTACTTCAAAAAAGAAAAGCGTTACTCCTAATGCCTGAAAAACGCGCTGGCTATTAAAAAAAGTAACGCGTTACTCGTTAATATAGAAAAAAAAACTTTAATATAAATAAAATAATACAATTTGTAATAATTTATTGTTTATTTTTAACAATAATTGATTTTTGAAATTTTGATCAGATAAACAAGGGCTTAATGCTCAACACAGCTTTCGCCGTGCTAAACATACGTTCAAAAGGCAGAGATAATGGAAGGGGTGTAATAATATTTAATAAATTTTAATTGAGGGAATTTATTATTAATTAAAGAATATTCTTTATTTTGAGAAAAGTTTAGATCAACTTCAAAAGTTTTCATTCAGACCTTAATCCATTTTTTTCATATCTTAATCAGAAAATATTCTGCATGTGTTGTTTTTTAATGGAAACAAGCCTGTTTTTACTTTGTCAAGATCTTTTACCAAACAGAGAATAAGTTTTCTTGATTGAACTTTAATTTTACCAATCTAATTTAAATAGCGGGTGAATTTTTGCTGCTAATATATATTCATCCTTATAGATATGGTCGCGTCTGAAGTAAAATATTATCAAAATATAAATTGTAAACATTATTTCCACTGTATACCTTTTATCTGTGTCTTGCAGGATTGCATTTATATAAAGCCTTTTTTAATTTTTAATAATATAATAGTTATCGTGGGAGTGATATATCCTAAAATATTTTATTCTCTCTAAAATCAAAAAAGCCGTAAGAACAGGTTTCATAACCTAAAAAATCATATACATATATATATATATACAATATTCATCCATTGTCGTTATCTGAAAATCTCTGTAATTTGGATTTATTACATGATTCGTCAAATTTGTGGCCATTCTCCTTAATAAGACTATCTATTAATTTCACGGAATTATTGAAAGAGTTTCATCTTGTTATAACTATTTTAATCAGATATCTTCCTTATTTTTCCTTAAAAATAGCTGCAAAGTTTGGAGGATGCTAATATTTATCCCACAATTGAGTTTAAAATATTTGAGTTGGTATATAATTTACACTTACAAAGTGTAAACTTACTCTTAGTTTTCTTTATTGGTATAAAAAAATGAGTCAGGTCAGGCTTAACTCATTTACATCTGAAGAAAATGTACAATTGACAATATTATTTATAAAATAAAATCGAATAATAGAGAATAAGAATATAAATTAACATACTTTGTGTTGTAATAATTAGAATATTATTATTTGTATATGAAATTAAATATAGTGGTTTATATAAATTTGAATAGTTACGGAAAATAGTTTTTTTTTATATATAAAGTTAAATATTAAAATTTGAATATGAATACGACGAGATTATATGATGTAAATTTGTATAAATATAGCGATAAAAAAATGTAATATCAAGAAGAAATTTTTATAAATTATAATTTTTATTTTGCTTTTTAATTTTTGTTATGATTTATTTAATTACAATTAATATTATTTAATAAAGTAATTAGTAGTTAATTTATTCATGCTATTTTATTTGTATTATCTAAATTCTCATTTCAAACACTTTGATTGATTCAATATTAATTAGATTAATAATCTTGACTGAAAATTTTGCAACGAAAATTTAAAATAAAAATGAAGGAATCTGGTGATTGATGTGAATTAAAAACACGACTTAAATTGTTTATAAAATTTTGGAAATAAAAAAGAGTAATTTTATAATATAATAAAATATGTTTTCCATATTTTTTAAGAAATATTTGAAGAGAAACGCGTTACTCGTTACCTCTAACGTTATATTACAGCACTAAAAAAAATGTAATTTCTTATTTAAATAAATTAGAGCTGTGAAGAAAAATAATTTTTATAAGGTTGGGTTTTTCTGGACAGATAATAACAAATTTTTTTTTTAAGGATCAGGACGTGTTTAATAATTTGTTTAGGTCAGACTTGAAATGTTAGACTCGGTTGTAGATCGCTAGAGTTGTTAAAGTATATAGATACAAAATTATCGTATTATCTAGATACACTTTTATAAAAGGTGTCTGTATCTATATTTAGATATACTTTTATTTAATGCTTTCTTATATTAAATGAAAATATTTGAATGCAGATTTCCTTTTATCTCATCAGTTCAAGATTGTGAAGGATATTTTTACCAGTGTAGCCATGATACCCATTAATTATTAAAAATACAATTGATGCAAAAAATTATTTTAAGTAAATAAATTTATTTAGAATTTTTTAAAATAATTTTATAAATTATCCTGATAACTTTTAATGAATAAATTATAAGTTTAATGTAAAAATTTTTTTAAAAAATTATATGCTCATTTAAAGAGAATTTGCTCAAAAAAATGATAATAAGGGTATTGGTATTCTTTTATTTTTTATATGGCATTCAAATCAAATGAGAACAAAATATAAAAGTCTGGTTTATATATTTGTCTCATATGGTATAATTTTAAAAATGGCCTGATTACCAATGTAGTCTAAATAATGTTATGCAAGATTAGAGACTTGGAACTTGCTGCTCTCTATGTGCAAAATCTCCAGGCTTACAAAATATTATTTTGGGTAAAATTCTGGAGCAACACTACTCATAATAATAATTTCTCTTTGACATACTGGCAAACTCTGTTTATAAGTATAATAATTTAAGAAGTCTCTAAAAACTCTGCAGATCAAGAATACAAACACTTCTACACCCCCACCTCTCAATTCTATATTCATATAGAAAATCTTGTGACCAACATTTGACATATATTTACCATATCTTTAAAACAATAATAAAAAATCTCATATATTCAATATTTTAAAAAAAACTGTAGGGCAAAACAAGAAACACTTTAAAATTTACCCTTTTCAAGAAAAAGGCAATATATGGCACAATTAATAAGAATAAATTTAATGCCTTTTTTTATTCCCCAAAAGTTAACATCTTATTTAAAACATGGGCAATGTTTATTACTGAATTTACTTCTTAAATATTTTAAAATTATTTTCTTGTTGCAATTAATGTAATAAAAAAATATCACTTTTCTAGTTACAATTTTAAAACTTACCTTTTATACATTTTTATTATTAGGGAATTTTGTATAAATAAAATATTATATGATTATATATATTTATATTTAGCCATTAATTTTGTATCAAATAGTTTTTTTTTTGAAAATATCGACCTGATCAAATTTTTTATTCTAAATGGTAAATATTTTCCCTTATTGTATATTTAATATCCAGGCTGTAATAAAGAATAAACCCCATTTTTTCCCAAAGAAAAAAAGAATTTAATATTTTATAGTCATTACCTTCAATACTTTTAACCTTTTGTTTAATTAAAAGGGAGGTTACATTACATAAATCATTGATCGAGTAATGAGGAATGTTTGTCATAATTTTAAAAATTGAAAACCCAACTTATAAAATGTAAATATCATCTGTTAAAATATTCGGTATAAAAATATGTATTATGGATAATAATTATTATATTTGCAATATATCAAAGCTTAAATTCCCTATTAGTCAATAATATTATAGAAAAAATTGTATGTAAATAAAACTTCAACATAGCACTTAGCATACATTGATATAATAAAATTTATTTATTTTATAGCGGAATAATAAATTGATATTCCAGGAAATTTTAAATTAAGCTATCAGAGTTATATACTACTGTTTTTAGTAATCAGTAGCGTAGCTACGGGGGTAGTTTTTGGGTTTGAACCCCTCCCAGAGCTAAATTTTCTTCCTAGATTATACAGTCAAAAGACTTAAAAGTGACTTTATATTAAATAAATGCCATTAATATTTATATTTTCCTGGTTTTGATGTTTGTGGAAGGATATTATATTACTATTGAAATTATTCTGGATAGTATTAATATAAAGTCATTGAGAATAATCTACTAAATTATAATAACATATTATTGATGCATTTAAAAATATATTTATTATATATTATAGAAGATATGATTATGATTTGTAATTAACCCGGCTGAAGGCCGTGAAAAAGGGCCGAAGGCCCGTTAAAGGGGGCCTGGGGGCTTCGCTCCCCAGGCTTTTATATGTATGGACCCCCTCTAAGAAAAAATCCTATCTACGCTACTGGTAGTAATGTATTATATTCGTCAGGTAGATATTGTTATAATGGTTACATATATTTAAGATTTAATATAATATTGGATGAGGTTAATTATCTAATACAATACCCATATCATCTATCATATTTGGATATCCGATTCATGGCATGGTTTTTTTATTATGGTTGTACATGGTTAAATAAATGTTATATAAAAGAATCTCTTACTATTTTAATTAATTTTTGCATGTTTTTATTAGTCGTCTCTCCTATCGTTTTATTAAATATTCGTTTATGTATTCTCAATCATAACTAATGACCACTCTTTCCAATATGCAAAAAAGCCCCATGAGCATCTATTTTATACACCTAGGATCTCATTTTGAAACAATAGATATTCAATTCTTTATAAATCAAATTCTCTATTCATAGTCGATTTCACCAAGGCAACTATCACAACTTTAATTATTTATCAGTTGCTAAATATATACCTCTCTGTCTGCTCAGTTTCAAATTTTCTTCCAATTCCTTATACTATTCTCGATAAACCTAAGGGGGCATTATATTTCTTTCCTTAATATTTTATTTATTTATAAAAATAATTCGACGCGGTGGGTGAAAAAATATGTAAATTATTTATTAATTTTTGTATGTTTAAATTGTGGAATATAAAAATTAAGCTATTAATACAAAATTTTCTAAGATGATAATATTACAAATATAAAAAATCCTCTCTTTCAACAGTTATACAAAATCACATTACAAATTTATACATGGCGTAACATCGAGATATTAACGAAAGAAAAAGTGTAACAGCCGAACGAAAGGTTTTGATAATAATCACAAATGACGTTTCCGCAAGAATAGAAGAGTCTCATGCCTAAATGGTGTAAATTATCGAAAATTTGTCTCACCTTGTCCAAAGTGGTTATAGATTCAGTGTTAATACCCCAAATGTGAATTTCAATTAGCATTTGCCTGATATTTCTCAATTTGATCTGCGAAAAGCCGTTCGAGATACGAGTTCTTCTTTTAAAAAACTTTAAGTCCCCACCAGAGTTGAGAAATAAATATTTCCAATGCGGAACGTTGAGCAGGCTCGCCAGTATATTCCATTCGTCTCCCTCTACATCTATTTTTAGCAAATCGATTATGCTATCTTGATGACCGAGCAATGCTGTTATATTTGTGAAGGGTAAAAATTTCCATGTTGATTTCATTTGCCGGGTCTCTACGGAATGTATAGGGTTGATCACATATTTGTCCTTATAATTGTTCTCATTACCATAATCGCTTTTGGTCGAATCGTTTAATTCACTATTTTCATGTTTATTGGACATTTCCTTTTTTAAAACCTCCCTTGGTTTAGCTGGGTGAATCCATGCCTTTTCAACTTCAAAACTACCCACACCCCACATGCTTTCGTAATTATCCATATTTATCATCTTTGAAATGTGCATATCTTGAGTCAAATTGTCAATTAATCGCTCTAAGACCAGTTTATTCTTCTTTATATGGTCATCTTCTTCTCTGATCCCCACGTTGTGGAATATATTAGAAGGAAAACGAACAAAGCTCTTCAGATTAATGGTGGGGTCAAACGAATTTATTTCGCAACCGTGCATTATTAATGCGTTTTCTAATGACCAATCTTGTCCTATTCTAAGCAATGAAAAAAAATATTAATGAAATTAAAATAATTAAAAGCATTCTTAAGATTAAACTTGCAAAATTTTGGGGCAATATAAATATTGTCATAAATTTGATATTTACAAATTAATTAGACTAAATATATTGTTTGATTGTATGAGTTTGAGTATATTCCATCCCCAAATTAGAACAGTTCATTCAACCTTTAAAGTTCTAACCAACAAATTTTTTTTTAAAGATCATTTTGATGCCTAATCCATTTGTAAAAAAACCTAGGTCTAATAATATTTAGCCCGAATCTGGAAGGGCCAGACTTTCACTATTTATCAAGAATGGACGCTAATATGAAATATAGAGTCAACAATAATCCCTAATTAAAAGTTTTAAATATTTCCTGCATACAATTATGAATTCAACCGGTTCTATAAACGATAACTCAAACATTTATAATGGAGGAACTCATCAGTGATGTTGTTAAAAAGTCGAGTTCTTACGACTTGCGACTCGAGTCGTAGAAAACAGCTCCGACTCAAGCCGATCCAGGAGCCGAATGGGCCGACTCACTTAGTCGGCGCATGTAGTCGACTCGCTTAGTCGGCTGGTGTAGGAGACTAGGCTTAGCCGTTTAACAACACTACTCATCACAATTAAATCCAAATGAAATTGATTATAAGATATTTACACCCCCGGCCATGAACGTGCCCGTAATATGAAAGATGATAAAAATCCGGGTCAGGCCTTTTAAAACCTGACATCGACATGTTTTTAAAAATTATGATACTCGAAAAATTTGCTCTATTTTCAGTTTTTTAGCAAGAAAGAAAGAAAGAAGATAATTATAATATACTCAAACTCATTTTAAAAGACAAGATTTTAAAAATCCCTGTCTGGGCTGGTAAATAATTTGACCTCTGCAGGTTTCAATTAATTATTATTACATAGAATTCTTATACAGTAATAATATGATTTGTTGTAACACATTTCCATAATGTGAAAAAACATTCTTATATAGTTAAATAACTTTCCATAATTATCGTAAAAAAATATTTTGATATAATTTTTTTAAAAATATTTTTGATTTTAAAAATTTTTTTAATAATAAAAGATTTTAAACTTTAATGAAGACTAACGTCAAAGTTATGATTTTTTTATGTTTTGGACACAAGTTTAAAGTGGGAAAATGAGAATTTTTAAAAAAAATTCTATAAATAAATATTTCTCAGATTTTTACACTAACTTTTTTATAATATACATTATAAATTTTTTTTTAAATTTAAAGTATTATTCCAATATTTTAATTTTACCTTTAGTTATCTAAGGAATGGAAATCAGAATAAGAAATTTGAATAATTTCTTAATAAACATGAGTGAATTCGAATTTAGGGTTTTCAGAGAATTCTTATTAGTTTAGATTTTTTAATACTCAATTAGAGACACAAATACAAAAAAACCATTTATTATGATTCTATATAAATAAAATATTACACAACAAATCAATTATAATTTCAATCATTTAAAGGAATGCATCGAATTCCATCTTCAATGAACTTTGTGAGAATAAAAATTTGAAAAATTGTATGTAAAATAACTGCTCAAAATACTCATAACAATTACAATAACTTCTATTTGGTTAATGGGTTTAGGAGTATTCAATCGGTATTGATTTTTAATAACTCCGATAAAATTTTAGATGGGATTTAATTGTGGCCAACACGGTGAAAATATGACATTTGGATAATTTTCACTAATTATCCTCGCTCGATGAATAAGAGCATTATCCATTATAAGCAATGAATTTGATGGTAAAATTGTATATAATTCATCGACGTATGTTTTGATTTTATGGCAGTGAAAGCCCCATCTATAATTGTGAATATTTTCAATCACCCTAATCCTATTGTGCATAGGACTGACATATTTTTCCCCCTTGTAGGGAGGTAATTTAGCAGATGGCCTTTTTCCCAAGGTTTCCCACCCATAATGCGAAATAATATGAGTATTAAACTCTGTCTTGTCCAAGAAGAATACATTTTCAAAAGAAATATTTTTCATCAATATTCCTTTCGAATTTGAATTACATTTGGAGCGTTTCTCCTATCGTGTTCTTTTCCAACCCTTTTCAAGCTCCAACCTATTAATTTAATACTTAGATATAACTGACCTAAACCTTAGATGTGGCCATTATATGTTCTATAATATTTTTAATTGTATAGCCATTATTATTACCAAACAATTCAGCTATATGCCATTGAAGTTCTGTAGTGTCTTTCTTCTTCCGACCTCGTTGTTTTATTATATAATCAGATAAAGGGTCGTCGTAATATTCAAGAAAAGTTTCTCGCTTGAAAAAAAAAACTGAACCAATGGATAAATTTAGATTAAGGGCAATTGTCTTTGCATTGGGCTGATCATCAATTGATTTGCTCAGCCATATTTTAGCCAATTCAACTTTTTCATCACTCCTATTACCATTTTTTCCTCAACTCTTGAATATTCGAATATTGACACCAATTTGTAATGTTAGTTAGACTAAGGGAATTCGATGGGATAGGTGAATAACTTGGTATCTGTTATTTCAGATAACCCCCCGAGAGGATATGAAATTTCATTAGTTGTATCTAAAATTATATATATAAAGTTAGTAAATAATCGAATATTATATTAACAAACCTGAAACTGGAGATAAATTAAAATACTAG